TTACATCAGATTCTGCCACTCGATCCCAGTATACACTCGGCCCTCCCCAAGCCTCATAGTCCTCCTTCGTAAAATACTCACTCTCCACCACCTCCGTCGTATTCTTCACCACCTCCGTAGTCATATTCTCCTCTTCCTCGTGGCGATTACCTTACTTGAATCATTCCGTATAATTCAAGTAGTCATAACCTTACTTGAATCACACGGCTTCGATATTGGGCTTTTGTATTGGGCCTTCTCAACCAAATCTCAAACGGTAACAATTCTATTATTTAATTGGATTTGGAATTATTTGGCATAAAAAGCAAAGGAAATATTATTACAACCAAACAACGTGTGTGGTGAAAAGACATGAACATATGTTGATGGGAGTATCAAACTTGTACATATTAGATGCACAACTTGTAGACCCTTTGAAGTTCTCAGGGAAGTTAGAACCTTATTGAACCTATAGAAAATTACAGAGGTTGAGACCCGTAGATTCATGGCTCCTTTCAAAGGCCGTGTTCAGATATAATTATCCCCGTATTAATGCACGCACATAATAAGTTAAGTTACCGTACTAAAAAACAGTACACACTTAAGGGTAAAGGCCTTGGAGAGGAGTCTAATCTACACTTAAAAACGACACGTTGACCCGGCATTTGGAAGTAACCAAAGCCAATGTTAAGCCAGGCTATGTCTCAGAGAGAGGGGTCCAGAATGCTATGAGTTTTGTGAGCCCGAACTGGGTTACATTCAAGGGCTTAGTGCTTATATGTAGGGACTAGCTAGAATCGGAAATGAAAAAGGAAAACTAAATCACATATGTGCTAATAAGTTTAAGTTATCGTATCCAAAAACATCACACTTGAAAAAGAAGAAGAAAAAACGCACACACCGCACAAGAACAAGTTCAGCTGAATAGTACAACCCCATAAAATAGCTTATAGTTTATCAGCAGACGGCCATAGTAGTCTATGAACGCGGGGGCAGGCGCCTACTCAAAGCGAGATCGCTTTCTAGAACTCTGGGCATTTTCACCACTCGTGAGAGTCATAGAACGCTTCTCAGTATTTTCTCCACTCCAAAGCTTACCCACGAGGGTCAAGGATCCTGTACTACCGATGACTCTTCTAATTATAGCTTTGCGTTCAACATCTGTTGGAAATAAAAAC